TGCAAACATAATCCTGTTCTTACCACACCATATTTTTCTACGTAATGTTCCACTACATTATACAATATTAATGAATATTTTTACTACTTAAAGTCCTTTGAAATCAATGGCACAAGAGTTCTATTCATGTCACTGGGACTTGGTGTATTGCGAAACTACAGCTCAAGCTGGTCACAGAACAATGCTCTAGTCATATAAGACACACCAGCAACCATTTTATTCCTACAATGCTGCATCTTCATATGCAATATTATAACAAATTATTCTTATTATGTGAAGTTCTGTTAAAACCAACAGTACAAGCACCTCATTGACACTATTAGGACTTTGTATGGCAAAGACAACTTGCAGTAGTCTTGTATATATTACACAGAAAGATACCACCTATTATGAAAAATATATTTATTAATGCCATTTCAAAACATTTCTTCTAAATGTCAAAAACACTTTGGCAGCAATGAACTAATTTCCAAGTTTTAAAAAAAGCAGCACTGAGAAAGAAATGTCTTGGCTAAATACATTCAAAAAATTTTTAGTTTAAAAAATAATTCCATGCTGGCAAATTGTGTGCCAAGTTTCAATGTAATTACTTCTGAAACCACTATAGGACAGATTCTGAAATCTTACCTCACACGAGTAACTCTTACACCTGTAAGCAGTAGTTCTATTGACTTTAACAGGAAATTACTCCAATGGGCCTACTTGCACATGTAAGAATTGGTCACATTAGGTCCACTTTCAGGATCGGTCCAGTTACACTGAACCCCAAAATCACTTAATGCATATAAAATGAAATTCAGCTACATTCTGTACAGGGGCTCGATCCCGCAGCCACTAAGTCAATATCAGCGCTCCCACTGACCTCAATGGGAGCAGGATCAAACCCAAAATGTTAAGAAAATCACTAGTTAGTCGGCATGCTCAGTTTCAGATATTCAAAAATATGAGCACACATCCCCCCCCATAAATAAACTACTATCAAAAAAAGATTTATGAAACAAATTATTTTTTAAAATAAAGATACCTTTTAGCCAGAATATTAGTAATACAAGTGGCTGGAATGATAAAAATTGTCTGTGTCACTTTTCACCAACTGTTTTACATAATTTTTTGCAGTGAATTTCACATCTGGCTAGCAACTTGTATGCCAAGTTTCAAACCAAATGCAATTTGAAACTGCCAATACATTACACTCTGAAATTCAAGTGCTGAGAAGAAGAATGGGGAGGTTGATGTTCATGATGTATCCTGATGTTCCCTTAAAATATCCATACTTCTGGGTGTTGTAGTAAACAGCTAATTTTAATGTGGTAACTTTGGTTATGAATGTCAAGTTACTGGACCTAAGAAGCAATACTATAATTATCCAGTATAAAAATAGTATTTCTACATAGCACCATTAGTTTGGTATAAAACAAGTTAAATGCCTATTACTTCCAGAAGGAAAAAAAGTATGCTGTAAAACAATGTAAGAAACAATGCAGCAGACAAAATCTTGTTATTCAGAATCCCATTAGTTACTGAAAATACCTAATATAACTTTTGTTGATCAATACTTTCACATAAGCCCTAAATAATATATGATTCCAGTGGGGGGAAATGCAGCAAATCAAATATGGTGGGAGATTATTTCAAATTATGAATAGTAGTATGACTGCTAATCCAGAAATCAGAAAGATTGTTGTAATGTGGGAGGGCTCTATTTAATAAAGGTCATTATAACTCCTGGCTCTAGAGCTATAAGATCTAATATCCTCTCTGGTAGCTCTATGATATGCCCATGCATTACTGTTCTTGTTGACAGTCTGTTGCCTTGGAAATATTTCATTATTTCAGTTTTTCCATTTGTAGACCCTTGGCCTTGTGATATGAAGGCCACCCTATTTCATATTTTCGATTATCATTTAAGCAATCTTCTGGAGCTATTTATATAAAAGCAAGTGTTAGACAATGCATATCATCATTTATCACTGTTGTGTTTAAGCTTATACTCTAGAAAGAAATACAAAAATGATGAGTTTTTTTCTTTACTTTAAACCAACACTACTGGGATACTGCGATATGCTTTACAAATCAGCACTAGCATACCATATGCATGACACTTCTATTTAATCATCTTGGATATATATCCACACAATTGAAAGATCCTAGGCTGGTACTGTAACTGTATAATTTGCAGCCTACCAGAGTTTAAAAGAAAATCAAAGAAGTTTAAGTGCATAACTTGGAAAATAATTATCTCACAATCTAAACAGGTAAAACGAAGTTTTAAAATTATTCAAGTAGAACTTAAGGGTAGCATATATCAACTTTGGAAGACATTTCAAACCATTATCCTGTTGTTCACAGTATTTTAACACATTCCATCTAAATATTGTATAAATGAAGAACAAATATATAGATTGTTTACTCTCACGGGTCTAAATTTTGAGAACTAGTTTATTTAAGAAGTAACTAAGAAAATAGTGATTGCAGAAGCCATTTTTCAAATCACTTACAAGATACAACTCAGAGGAGATTTACAAAGTAAGCTTAAATAAACAGTTACATTCAAGAATGTAGTGAAACGTTAAATAAGTTTTAAGAAAATACACATTCGTGTATATTTACTGAAGCACTATTACCTTTTTTCCAAAACTTTTTCCAAATACCACAAAGGATTATATATAATTTCCCATATAAAAACAAATCAACTTACACACGTAATATTTATACTTAAAGTGTTCAGAGCATTGTAAACAGTGATAACCAAGCGAACCCTCAGGGCACAAAACTGTCTGGACACTAGGCCAAGTTTGTGGCTATTAGCGTTCTAGGAGTTTAGGCTACTTGTTCCCCTGAAATGATTACTCCTCCCACTCCCTACAGGGTAAAACTACTCTGATCCAACCTTTAAAATGACAGCATCAGAGCTGAACAAGAAGATGCTATTAAAGGGCATTAAATTAAATACAGTATATCCTCCTACAACTTCAATCAGAATTTCAGACCAAGTGTTATTTAGTTCAGCTCTCAAGTGGAGCAGAATAACAAATTGCGCACTTTGATTTACCTTCTCCGAATGCCAAATGGAGACAGGTGATAAAGAAAGCACTCATGCACAGGCTATGAAGTTTCCCCTAGAAATTAATTCTATCTTCAAGATTCCTATCTCAGAGAAATTCCCAAAATGGCACACAAATATGCTTCTGCTGGAGAGATTACTGAAGCTGTCCTGGCAAATACATTTATTACTAATATAGTACCAGGATCAGAAAGAAGACGGCGAAATTGTATATTAGAAAAAAACACTGATATTTATACATGGTTGTTTTCCTTGCAAATGAAGAACTTTATAGAAAAAGAAAAAAAGCATGCTGCTAAAGGCACTATTAAGACAGTAAAAATGCCTATGCAGCCACTGGAAGAAAATGTTGAATGTTTATCGCTAAAGAGAAGCTAAAACATAAATCAGACCTTTAATTTCTGGATTTTTAACAGAGGTGCACATTACACCTATATCCAAATTCAGCTCCATATGTCTTTGACTACATTGTCGAAGTGCAACAGTTAACGGTATGCATCAAGCACAGCTATATAAATACTTTACTTATGAATACGAAAATATAGTGTTCCAAGATTTTGCAATACACAGTAACTTACTTCACCATTACTTCTATCAAATCTGCATTTATTTTTTTAAAACATACACTGATATGTTTACCATCACATTTTAAAAAGACATTTTACATTAAAAGTGTGAAATAAAAACTGTTTGACCACAGCTTATTTTATGTAAATATTTCTCAGATCAACTTGCACTGTAAAATATAAATGTGACAATGTGACCCAATCATTTTTAAAAGCTAAGTGTTAATTTCCATTTTACAACTAACCAGGCACCTTCCTCACCCTCCCACTCATCCCAAACTCACTGATAATGCTGAGGAAAGCATACAAAAACAAACCAAAAAAAAACAAAAAACAAACAAAAAAAACTTTGGCTGCCTCCTGTTGGACATATATCTTAGTGAAATGGATCTTTGAATACTTTTGTAAGAATCACAAAGTCACATCACATGAACGTGTCAACCGCTTCCTACTGATCACTTCTAGAAAGAGTCATTTTACTAAGAACAAATCTGCTACGGCCAATTCATGTCAGCAACAGTCAATTAACAGCAAACACAATCCCAAACAAAAGTATAAGGGGCGAGACTGGTGGATTAGAAGCAAAGGGGGGAAAGTACCATCCACTCTGAATTCTACGAATAACATCAGTTTATAGTCCTTGCAGATATTTTGTATACAAACTCTGTTGCGTGTTTTAACCAACTCCACAGTGCAATAAGTATCAACTGTTCCAAACAGCCTGATGTGTTTCCACCACCAAGGACGCCAAGGGCGGGGCTGAGAGGGGGGCAGTGTACATTATTCTGCAATTACTGTAACGCTTTGGACAAACTTGCCCGAATGCGCAGCTTGCTACGAAGAGCAAACAGCTCTTCCCTAGTTTTGGCCTAGCTGCACTTGAACTGCACAAGCAGGGACGGCCCCTCTGCAAGACGTTCCGGGCCTGGTGCAAGCTCCTCATCCCCCAGTCACCCCCTCCTCCTCCCTCTCCCCTCCTTCGCGGAGACTAGAGACCCGAAAGGGGCCGCCCCGGGGATCCCCACCACCACCACCACATACACCCCTCCCTCCCTCCCTCGTCAACGCGCCCTGCCAAACACCGGCTTCTGCAAGCTGGGGAGGTGCCACTGCTCTGAGACTGGCGGCGGCTGCAGCGGGGAGGCTGGCAGCGCGCGTGTGTGTGTGTGTGTGTGTGTGTGTGTGTGTACAGACAATATGCAATAGGAGAGAAACTCCCCGTACTACCTGACAGGGCGAGCGGGTATCCGCAGGCAGAGAGTCCGCCTCCTCCCACCATTCCCCGGCATGGCAGCCAACCCAGACCCAAGGCAGCGGCGGCGGCACCGCGCGGCGCTGCTGCTGCAGGTTCAATAAAGAGAAAGTGTTACCGTTCTCGCCGGGAAGGATCCTGCTGAAAGCTTGGCTTGGTGGGCGCCATCTTCCTGGGTTTTTTTTTTTTCCTCTCTCCCTTACTTTTCCCCGTGCTGGGGCTGGCGTGTGTGGTGTGTCTAGCGGCGGTAATGGCCCTGATTACCCAGACAGGCTAAGGAAAAGTACTGAGGCCGAAGCATCGCGGGCTCCCGCTCCTCGGCGCAGTCCTGGTGCAGGTTGCTCGTTAACACGGCTGCTGCGGCGGCCGCCGTCCACAAGCCGAGGAGCGGAGAGAGCCCGGGCTCCGCCGGCTCCACAGACATGCCCAGCGCAGAGACAGGCGGCCGGCGGCGGCGGGGGGAGAGAGCCGCGCAGCCCCGGCGGGCAGCCCGGCCATTGGCATCGCCCGGCAGGTGTGACACACAGCACGGGCCAGATTAAGCTGGGTGCCAGGCCATGGGGCGAGCGGGGCTGGGGAGAGAGGGGGAGGGAAGAGTCAGGGAGCTCCGGGCTTGACCGCTGTGAAAGTATTTCTGGGCATTTTCCAGCTGCTTCCCCAGCTCCGCTCTCACTCTCTGTGCAGGGGACAGAGCCTCCGCTGCCGGCGCAACAACGCCACTCAGTTGCAGTTTCGCACACTTTCCTGCTCTGGAGCAGCAGATCCAACAGAAAAGAGGGGCTGAGAGACAAGGTTGTGTGTGTGTAACTCTGCGAATGCACGTGTGCATATCACAGGGGAGAGCATGTGTGCACTCGATGTAGAAATCCGTGAGACAACATATGCTCTATACAGCGTGTGTGCATTACATATGGAGAAGTGCGTGTATGCGCAATATGTTATGTGTGCAGCATATGTGCATCTATTATGTATACGGTATTGGAAGAGAGTATATGCGTTAGATACACAGAAGTGTAGGCACGTGTGTATAGCTCATATCTTCTGTACAGAAACCGCAGATAAATGGGAAGAGGGTTGCGAATATAGGCGCGCACACCCATTTGAGTGTGTACAGACCCCGCATCTTAGTATACAGTTCTAGCTGTAGATGCTCTCTTCTTGAAAGATATAACATTGGTCATGTTAACACAATATGACACGCTCTGTTTGGGAAGCATATGCTTCACATTCACTGGAGATTACCAAACTGATCACGAAATAAGGGAGCGAGAAAAAGAGCATACCTTACAGGTTTCTTTGAACATACCAGGAGAGCTGGGGTTAAAGACATTTTAAAAGACAATGTCTCTTTTGTAAATGGCTTTTCAAAGCCAAAATAACAGTGTGGCTGTGCTTCTGCTGCCCGCAAGTTCAGCTGCTTAGGGCCTGATCCTGTTCCCAAAATGAATCGGATTCTTTCCATGGGAGCAGGATCGAGCCCAAAACAACGGGGTTTAAACAGAGCGTCTTCTCCATAATTTAAAAAGGGAAAGAGGAATGGGATAGCTACACGTTTGAGTTGTGTAAGAGAAAGCGAGTGAGGAAGAAGTTATTAAAGCACCTGAAAGTTTGGCTGTAGGGCGTTGTTAGTGCACCAGCAGAAGAATCTCTCCCTGTAGGAGCCAGCGAGACTGACCTACCTATTAGGTTTGAGGACTTCCAGAAGCAGACACAGACTGCCAGGGACCAAGCCCCTGCAGACAGCTTCTCTCTCAAAGCAGTCTACTCACCTAGGCCCCGATCCTGCAAACACGTGTCTACTCACTGTAGTAAAGTTAAGCACGTGGGTAAATATTTCAAGGATGGGGGCCCCATTTCTTACTGGACTTTTTGTATTTGTCATTCTGCAATACATACACATATTAACTATACTGTATTTATCCAGAGTAAACATCATGCATCTCAACATAAGATCCTTGGGTTTCTTTTATTTTTATTTCAGTCATTAAATATGGGATCTGTAATAGAATTTCAACTTTATATCAAGGAATCTGGGGGTCCAAAAAGCACAAAATGCCAGTCAATCCGGCAAGCCTTTTCCCTCCCCTCCTCCAGAAAAAAAAAGTTAAGAGGTGTCATCTTGGATTTTTGCAATGAGCATAAAAGTGATGCCAATGTTTTGGTACATTTGTAAAGAATTTCAGTATAACAAGTTGAAACATCATTCAAATTAAAGGCATAGTTTTAGTCTATAAAACTAATAGTTACCTAACATTTGGAGAAAATGCAAATTGATTTTTCTACATGAAATTATGTAAAGCATCCAGACTGGACTTGAGTCTCATTGTTGTAAGTATTTGACTATATATTTAGTCAACAATATTTGATTTACTGGTGTTGGTAGTTTATCAGAGAGGAGTTGTTCTTATAACTTTTTCCTGATTACTGACTGACAAAAATCCAGCTATTAAAATCTAACTGAAGTACTAAAATTTCACAAACTGCCTTGTCCATATATTTCTGTATAGCTTAACCCTCCAGAGGTCTCTTTCATTTATTTAAAAGTCAATCTGACATTTCTGACCCTTGACTTCCCCACTTCACAGACTAAATTATTGTGACAGTTGCCTGTACTTCCTAGTTAAAGTGACCGTCAGTTTCCCTTAGAATTTAAATACTTTGTAAGTGATAAAAATCATAAAGAAACCATGAAAGGAAAATACTAGCCCAACTTTTTCGCATTCTTTATATCTGTCACGTTCCAGTTCTTTTATATAATAGGTTCGTGTATTTGCGCAAAAGAAGGCTGATATTTCATTTCAAACGTTCCTTAGTAAGGAAAGTTCTTAGGGATCATCTAACTGCAATATCACTTTTATACTAATTTTTCACAAAATAAAGCCTTCAAAAGTACGTCCAGAAAATTTCTACCATCAAATGGAAAACACACCCATGTGTTTTCCAAAACTTGCCCTAATCTGTTAGGCAACTCAAAGTTGGTGAACAACGCAGCAGGCAATGATTGATTATCTGAATCTTACCAGTTTAAATACTGGTGGTTCGAAACAAGAGTTTCCAAATCACTGAAGTTTTAAATATAAGGTAAAAACTTACTGCGATACTAATATTCATTATATGCATTAATATTCATTATATGTAGTTAGAGGTGTTGGATATTTGTGGTTACACACCATTTTTACCCCCAATATTTAATGCAAAACTGGAAGCCCAGATGTTTGGAACTATACTATTTTTATTTTATTTTAAAATGGAAATTGTTCAGATTTCAATCTAGACTTATTTTTGTCAATTACTGGGGAGTACATTTTTGTTCTAATTTGCTAGTAGCAAAGAATATCAAAGAGAAAGTTCAGATTGTAGTCTTAGAAAGACGAGGAAATGTCATGTAATTAAACATCATGTTAGTATCAGCACGTATCAATGAATTATTAAGGGGAGGGGGTGGGGAAGGTCTTTAAACTTCATTATGACTTAGTGCCTAACCTAACTTTGTAGGGCTCTTCCTAAAGGCGCTGCCTGCGAATTGCGTGTACTTGCATTAGAATGCAGTTAAGATGAATACTCCACAGTGCTGTGTACACTTAGGGTTTCATACTATATTTCCCTGTACTAACAGGTGACATGATAACACTACAATGTGGACCTGCAAGCGTGCAGCTCCAAGTGAAAATTGTCTCTTTCTCTGTCGAAAACAAATTATCAATCAACACACCGTGATCAATTATCCCCCAGGCTGCCACACAGTGGGATTTGCACAAGGCATTGACATTGAGAAATTCCTCTCTAACAGGGAAGAGCGGACGGGATCCCAAACTTTGCAGCAGCCAAGCTAAGATGCCGGGGAACTCACTCCCCCCCCCGCCCCCCATTGCTGCTTTCCAACTCATTCAAGATACAACTAGAAGATTTTGTTTACATCTCGGTGCATTTTAAAACAGCCGGAATTTTTACACCCAAAGAGCTACCAACAGAGGGGGGGGGGGAGGGAAGGAAAGAAACACAAAAGCACAAAGAAAAGCAAGTGAGGGAGCCTCACACACACCCTTTTTTGACCTGCACTCACCGTTGTTGGTAGGAAGTGATGCCCTGAACGTTTTGCGGGTTGCCGTTGGCTGCGGTGCTGGCTCTCCCCATGCCTGGCCCGGCCGGCACTCCCCCGGCCGCCCCACCAGCCGCCGCCGCAGTCACCTGCACGCTGAAATCCGGGAAGATCCTGATCATCCCCGCGGCTCAGCACCCAGCGAGTCTCGGCGAAGAGGTACAGCAGCTCCTCTCCCTCCGGCGGCTGCAGCAGCAGAGCCAGGCACACTGCAATCCCATTAGTGAGCGGCGGCCACTGTGAGTGAGGGAAGGCGCTTTGATCTGAGCTGCTGGGCTGAGATTGAGAGGAGTTGGGGGGAGGGAAGGATGGGGGGTAAAGGGAGGGGGGAGATATTTTACAGATTTGCAAACATGCAGCGTGTGAGGATTGGGGGGTGGGGGGTCAGCACTGCCAAAGGAAGGTATCGCTAATAATACCACTGAAGCGGAGGTTATACCAGAAAATTCAAGCTGAGTAGGGACAGAGAGAGGAGAGGGAGGCGCAATTACTTTAGCGGTGCCGTGAAAATGATGAGCAGCAAATGTTGCCTTTTTTCCCCCGTCCTCCCTCTCCCCCACCCCTCCTCCCAAAATGCAAGTCTTGGAGGATTTCTCTGTCTCAATGAAGTAATAATAAGCGCTGCTGACCACAGCCTGGGCTAGAGCCAACAGCGCGGGAGAGGAGGGGGGAGGAAATATCCCAGCTCCCAGAGTCCTAAAGAAAGAAGTAAGAGTGGAGGATTGTTGCTGCCCAAGTACTTGCTAGCTTGCTTCCCCCCCCCCCCCTTTCTATGAGGGGACGGTTTTCACAAGTGAGGAAATGCGCCGCTTTTGTGCAATGGCAGAGTTTGTTCCCTATTATAGGGAACTGACTCTCCTCCCCTCCTAGTGTGCAGCAATGTTATTGCTACTCAAACTTGTAAGGTGTGTGGTTGTGTGTGTGACTGTGTGCGTGCACGCACTGATCCCCATTGCTGCTTCAACATATCAATTATACCGCTGCGAGGTATGCAAGAACCCTTAGCAAATTTATATCACAGAGCAGCAGGAGCAAACAATAACAATAGTGAGGAAGGTGGCTCGTCTTTGGTGTCCCTTTAATGCAAACTGCTTTATATCGGAGAGGAAAAAGCGTCTGCAGATTTACAGCTCCTTTGTGCAACATGGGTAGGAGTGGGCGCAATTCCTCCCCCCT